TACAGCTTCGTTTACGGTATATGACGGACACAGACATGCTTGACACTGCCATGATTAGCTGTTTACAAATGCCAAGTAATGATAAACCCTTTCGATTTCTTGGAGTTCAGTGGCTTGTACGTGGGGAACCTTCTCGAGTCAAGACAAGCTCTCGACACCATCGCGAGTTCGTTCTTTTGGTGGCTTCTGGTGTTGTGCAGCACAGAGTTTCAGCAACAAAGATCCAGGAGATAGGTTATCATCTTTATCAGTCGGTTGAGTTGGAAGAATGTTTGAAAGACTCCAGTAGCGGCATAACTCGAGGTTGGATCTCGACTTGTACGCTGTTTGTACCAACCCGAGAGAACACTTGTAGAATCGACGTTTTTTCTCGGGGATTCGCAGACTTCAAAGGCAAGATGCAGGACTATCAAGCCACTAATATGATGACCACATTGATGCTGGCTGGTATCACAGAGGCAACAACATGCGGTCAAAACAAAAAACTAAGCTGGCTGCTTAACTTCCCAAATGCTGCGCAAGACTTTCGTCAAAGACATCTAGATTCTAAGCGTTCCTTGAAACGCTGTGGAATTTGCGATCGCAAATTTAATGTTCTGACCAGCGTGGCGTCGTGCGATCTGTGTCTCATTAATGTCTGTTCACGGTGTCGTGTCAGTCATGACCTCGGTATGATCAGACGCAATTATTCATCACATAGCATCACTCAAAGCAAGATCGGAAGCGAAAACCAATATGTTAATGGTCAAGTTCAGTGTCTACCGGCCACATTATGTAAGAACTGCAAGATGAACGCTAGTCATATGGATGCTCGTAACATGGCGCGTCGGGACGTAGAAGCGGGATATAGTCTGAATGAAACAATGTCGACTAAAGAAGAAAGTATTTTGACCATGGATCAACGGACTAAGCCAACGTCATCATCGTCCAAAGCTGAAAATATCGATTTCGGAAAATATATTGGGACTCTGGGTACCACCGATAACGTAAATGTTCGAAGATGTGATCGATTCGTAGAGCTTGGAGCAACCGGTACTAATGTTTCAAGAAGCTGTTCGGCAGTACAGCTCATTGACACTGTGAAACCTGAAGCGATGGCATGTAGGATAGAAAAGAGTTCGACAACTATTTTGGAAACATCAAACGGTTTCGATCTCGAGTCATCCTTTGCCTCGACAATTCCATCTCAACAAGATCGGGACAGCAATTTCGATGAGTCGTGTTTTGAAGTGACTACGTATCGATCTCGACTACAACATCAACCACAGTATGCAAGTGAAGATCCAGTGTATGTGGATTGCTCCCAAGCAGATTTGATTCGGAGAATGCAACAATTGCAGATGAAATCAGAATCTGTGTACCAGTTTACGAGTCAAATGAACGCTAATACGCAATATCGATATCAACAAGCTATGCCTTTTGATTGCAGGTCTTCTTCCATCTCGGAGCTTGATTAGATCAAACTTTCTAGACATGTGCTTAAAATATGATGTTTGGTATAGTATAAATATGAATTTGATGTCATTAAAATCTTTGGTTGTTTATCTCACCATACACATACACAAGAACACAGTATTGAAGTATTTTTAATAAGTATACCAAGATCTAATATATTTATAATGAGAATTAGATTACTATAAAGTTTATTGGTTCGAAA